ACAAAAGAGATTGTCAAGAGTAAATTTTTAAAGCCTTTTTTTTCTTCTTCTTCTTCTTTGTGGACCTAGAAAGGTTGGATACAACCTCAAAATATTCATTTTGAGGAATTATCTTAATTACCTTTAGATTTTTTTCCTGGCTTTCATTAAAAACTCTAGATAAATATGCAACTGTTTTACTATCCCAAACAAACAAAAAATAGTTTAAAAATGCTTGAATCAGTGCAGTTTTATTTTAATTCAAGTAAAAAATTTATGAAAGGTTAAAAAACAAAGATCACGAAAAATAGGTGAAATGAATCCCCATAATTGCTGACAATTTGTCCTCAAAGGAGGCTATTTATTCCAATACTGTTGCCATCGAAATTAGGTTAAAAATTGCAAGACTATAAACTGTTCAACGTCTAAATTTAAATAGTATTTACAGTTTGTTTTTATTCTTATGAATTAATTTTTCTTTGTTACATTGCTCCTTTACCTTACAAACAACGAACGTTTGGTGACAACACAGAATTGATTTAAGAATGTGTGGGTTAAATGTCACAAGTGCCAGCAAGTAAAAATAGAAGCAGACGATATTTTAAATCCACTATCTGTACAAGTAAATTTTCTGGAAAATAGCTCTTTTAATTTTGAAACTATTTTAAAAGTTTTATAAATACAAAATAACAATTTTATGAATTATGGAAATTATTAAATACATTTCAGTGAAATAGATATATATAAACTAAAGTCAAAAATCTTAGAAATGAATATAAGATAAAGGATCTCTTTATGATATAAACAAACAAACGAAAGATCAATCCGTGAGTGTTGAAAAAGAAGAAAAAAATATGATTAGTTACGCTTCTAGCATCAAAAAAGCCGCTAATTTAACTAGACAATATTTTTTGTTCTGCTTGATTGATCAACCGCTTGACGCAATGAATCTTTAAAAATAACACATTTAATTCACTTCTTCGAAGATATTGAAACTTTATTATATTATTTTCACTGGGAAAACTGTTCAATAACTAATTTTAAAAAAATACGAGAGCTTTTGAAAAAATATTATTCTTACAAAAAGTTAATTACATCCGCAAAAAAGTTTTTTTTGTCCATTTGCACTTCGATTCAGACGATAATTTTAATCCTTTAACTGGTCTATCGCCTAACGACTCTAGATCTTGCAGAGAAAGATGCTTACTATTGAACCCAGAATAATCACAAATCAAAATCTTTATTTAGTATGCATAGAATAAAGAATTTAATTATTTATTAAATAAGAACCTTTCTATTTATCTGGTAAAGTGACATAAAAAAATTACATAAAATAAAATTAACTACAGTTTTTCAGGTCAGTTTTTTAAAAATTGTATTTAGAGGAATTATATTTATAAAAAATTATGAGATGTTGTATCAAGAGTTGAATGGCCCAATAGCTGGAATCCGTAAACCGTATCTTTCGCGCATCTTAAATGATATAACATATGAAATACAGTAGAGTCCCGATTATCCGAGTTAATGGGGACAGCAACAAAGTCGGATAACTGAAAAACTCGGTTAAAGCGAAGAGTATAAAAACGGAAAGAAAAAGAGAAGGTATAAATGTAATATATTTAAGAAATACAAAATGTATACGAGTATACCACATACAATTCATATTATAATTAAAAAGCTTGCTTAAAAACATTTAAAAAGCATAATTTACGAGAATTAAATAGTTTTTACTTAAAAAAAGTCCCTAATCATTTTTTGTTCTACGTAACTTGGGCGCTTTTTTGTAGTAATGTTTCGCCTTTTTTTGGGATAACAGGAAGGCTGGTGTCGCCTCTTTTTGTTGTTCTATATAATCAATAGTACATTCGATAGCTCTTAGTTCATCTGTATGAGAGATTTTTATATGTTGATTTTAATAATCACTGTCTTCATCATCTTCGCTAGATTCATTATCATTATTGACGATATTAACGATAATTTCATCAGACCAAGTTGTTGGATTTTGTTTTTCTGAGTGTTTAGAAGATAAAATTCAGATTTATTTTTCAGCGGATTTTTTAAAAATAAACTAGAACAAAAAATAATCCTTGAAATATTTGATAGCTCGGTTAAAGCAGAAACTCGGATAACCGAGGCTCGGATAATCGGGACTCTACTGTACAACAAAATCAAATGGTGTGATAAACAATGCCCGAGGCAAAATAAAAATCTGATATACATCGAGGTAATATGTTTACCTAGGATAGGCTAGGTTGAGACAGTTTTAATCGAAACTCAATGAATATTGTGCAGTTTTTTGATATAACTGACTTAGATTCAAACCTCGAGTAAAGGATGGTTCTTGTACTGATGAAGATTTGCTAGCATTAAATGATCTCAGTGATTCGAGTCCCATTTTGACGGGCTAACCATGGGAGCTTATCGAAGTAAAACAAATAAAAAAGTTAGTCATCAAATTCATATTTCGTCTTGAGAGAGAAATTTCGTCCCTAAAATGTTACCTGTTTTTGGCGAAAAAGCCAAAAGTAAGTGTACCTCATTTTGATTATCCAAAATGTTTCGAATGTTTCCATTAAAAATATAACTGTTGAACTAAACAAATTGTTCATTGATCTGGCCAATAGTGAGCATAGGCACCATTTTATTTTTTAAATAAAATATTTTCCAATCATGAAACTTATTTTTTGTCCGAATAAATTTAATTTAAACATATTTCAATGAAAATAATACCACATTTTATGAAATTTCTCACCGCGGCTTAATATGCGAATAAAAGATAATTTATTACAGATTACATACTTCAGATGCAGTGGTCCTCTGACTCGAGTTCCAAATTTCAAAGAAATGGAGGCAAACGTAATCACTTTGCACTTATCGTAGTAAAATCGTTTTTTTTTTTTCCTTCTTCTTTTTCTTTTACTTATGACAAGAAAGAAAAAAACATTAATAGCATATAGTACACCAAACCTCAAATTCGATTCCTAATTAATTTTGTTATATTTTCACTCAAGCTCAGCGTACTCACAGGGAAAAAAGGCACCAGGAAAAAAAGCACCACATTAACGATTGTCTAAATTTAACAATCACTTCGAATTGGGCCGTTAAATTCGAATTTAATGCAATTAAATATTTATTAAACCGTAATTAGATTTTTTTTTGAAATATTAAGAATTTGAAGTACAATTTTACTAAGTATTGTTATAAATAAATATATCAACTAGCCTATCAACTATCAAACGATTAACTCGGGTAGTTAATCGTTTGATAAGATAAAAATATTTAAAAAAATTATTTCAATTTTATTGCAGTTCTTTTAAAAATTACTAGTTGAAAAAGTATTATTTATACATTATTATGTCACAAATAAGTGTAATTATTAAAATTTAGAGCTGGTTAACTTTAATTTATTCTTATAAATTAATTTTTAAAAAAATATTTAATCACATTAAATTCAGGCTTAAAGGCCTGAATTTAATCTGTTTCTGAGTTTCTATAATTATTTCCGAAATGTTTTTTTCTTTTTTCCTTCTTTTTTTCCTGTTTACCGTTTACAACAGCGCTTCATATAAATTTCTTTCAAAAAGTGCAAAAAAATTCATTTTGAGGAAACTTGGTGCACAAAGTCAATGGTTACTGTACTCTTATGACAATGTTTTAATTGGGACTTCGGAAGTTTAAAAATCAATCTAATCCATGATTCGATTCCAATTAACTTTTCAATGTTTTCTGCATCATCCAGATCGATGTAAGATTTTGACGCAAAGAGCCATGTTTTAAGATGAATTTAGGCATACTCAAATGAAAGAAACGTAATTCAAAATTAAGTCTGGCCCTTGCGCCAACATTGCCAAGCTAACAATCATAATTTTTTTTTACATAGATATTTGCAAAATATACGATGACTTACTAAATTCTAAGTTTCAGTTTGCTGAATTGTTTTTAATATTTACTCAAGTCATCGAGATTATCAATAGACAGCAAAATATAAAAAAAAATAAACTTGTCTAAAAAATGTAATTTAAATAAATTTGATATACCAAGTTGATCTAGAGTAGTTTATGAATTATTCTAAATTTTCTACGATTGTTTTTATTATTATTTTAAGCTATCTGGCTCAGATAGCCTGAGATTTTCTCTATTGATGGTATATTTATCACTTATTTTAAAATAAATCTCAGTTTTTAAATCTAAGCTAAATCTTTTAAATAAAATCTCTTGTTTTAAATAAATTTGATTTTGCATTTCATCAAGATTTTATGCACTATTCTAAATTTGTAACCAAAGTAATCATGCTCATCAATGTGACAAAAAAAAACATATTTTAAGTAAATTTGAAATGCCAAGTTAATTTAGATTTTATGAACTATTCTAAATTATCTACTCAAGTTATTATGCTCATAAAAAGATATGAAAAAACAAACGACGATTAGAAAAGGTAAAATAACTAATTTAAACCAAATTTAACTAGATTTTATATATTATTCTACATTTGTAACCAAAGTTAGAATCATCAACATGACAAAAACAAACATATTTAATATCACTTATTTTAAATAGATTTGAATTGCCAAGTTGATCTAGATTTTATGAACTATTTAAAATGATCAACTCAAATTATTAAGCTCATAAAATGATGTCAAAAGCAATATTTAAAAAAAAGATCAAATCACGAACTTAAAACAATTTTTAAGGTTGAGTTAGATTTTATGTAATTTTGCAAAAAATTATTTTCAAAATTATCTTTAGTGATTATGTTTTTGTCAATAAGAATAAAAATATAAGTCTAAAAAAAATTTAGAATCACTTATATAAAATAAATTTAGTTGTTAAACTGATATAAAGATTTTATAAATTATATTCTACTATTTTCTCATTTTATCGGAAAATGTAATACTTTATTATCGGTGACTGAAATGAAATAATTCCAAAAAAAAAAAAAAAAAAAAAAAATACTTTNAAAAAAAAAAAAAAAAAAAAAACGTGTTGGTGAGAAACTTCTAAAAGAAAAAAAAACAACTCACCGATTAAATAACTTCCAGATCGGGTCACGTGGTACTCATATAACTAAATCCATTGGCCAAATGATTGTCAGATGTGTTGCCGAACTTGAAAAAGACTGGGGACTGAGTAGAGAGGGGGGAATGAATATCAACATGAATTTTGTCCCAATGCTACCACCCTGTCGAAAGAAGTTTGCACAAGAAAAAGAAAATGAATTTCTGTAAACATTTTAAACTATAAATCCACGATGGTATCCATTCGCTAAAGTAGAAATCGTGATAAGTTTTTCTTAATTCCCTCATCCAAGGCAGTCGTCTTAGGATTTCCGAACTTTTGAGTTGAATAGCTCATTTGTTTTGGAGTCCCGCTGTTGGGGACGTACCACGTGACTCGTGACGTCATGTCCCGTCCATGTGCCAGACGGGAAGTGACGCCTTTGATAAGTTTTGTAGGAGAAACTTTTTTTCCTTTGATTGCGTCTTTTGCATAGATGCTCAAGAAAGAAGATGAGATTCCCGTGGGCGCTCCATAACAGATTTCAACAACAGTTTCACTCTTTTTTTTTTTTTTTGAGGCATTGTTGGGTTGTTCTTGAAGTTGAAATATTTGTTATGTGTCGTCAGAGTGATTTTCACTCTTCGAAAAAGAATTAAAATAAGAAATGGCAAATAAATTGAGGAAACGTTAATTGTGAATTCAGATTTTTTTTTACTGAGGCTTTTTAGTAAACTTCTCTATTACCTCATTTCAAAAACCCTTTTTTTTAAAAAACCTGGCGCATATTTCACAGTCTGATAAAAAAAAAAAAATTCTTTTTTTTGGGGGGGGGGAAACAATTATTTATTATAATTTTATTTATATTGAATCATTTTCTGTTACAATATTTACAACTGTCAATCATCTCTAGCAGTTAAAATAGTGAGAGATAAGAGTTCTATTAAAAGAAACGTGAATATTTATTCTATACTTTTAGTTTTGAAAAAAAATATCATACCAGTTTACGTTTTAAAATAGAGATTTTAAGATATATTATAGTTTATATGATTAACTAAAATGTAATAGTTGGGGGTGGGATGACCCACCAACTAGCTGTTAACAATAATTCATGAAATTTCCCAACAGTTATAAATTTGAGTGTTAGGAGGTATATATGGGTTGTAAATTTCTTAATTTATGGTAAAATGTATCTAGTCCAAAGTTATAAGAATTTAAAAGAAAAAAAAATACATTGTAACTAATCATGCAAAATTTTCTATTTAATTATAAATCCTTTTTATCAATGTTTTTAATCCAGTCATGTTTAATATTGATTAATTTTTCGAGTTGCACTAATGTGTATTTACATTTCACAAATCAAACAAATAAGAAATAGTAAAGTAAAAAAAAATAAATAATTTGTTTGTTCATTCTTAGAGAAAAAGGGTGCGCTTATTTAATATGATCAGTCATCAGACGTTTTGCTTCGAATTTTAAAACAGAAAATGTTCTTACATTCTTATCAGCTAACTGGCTACAGTTCTGAGACTCGAAAAAAAAAACTTCACAATTATTTAAAACGAGTGTTAATTTAACGAAAAATTTTAAGTACCAATAAAAATTAAACAAAATACATTAGTATATTATCTGAAAAAATCTACGTGGTAGCATAAAGCAGTGCTTCTTAACCTTTTTAAGCCGCGACCCAAATTTGAGAAATATGTTCATGTCGCGACCCAAAAAAAAGTCAAAATTAGGCTGAGTAAGCCACAATGACTTCTTCTAGGAAGTGTTGGTATTACTTATTATTTGGTGTATTACTAACTTTTTTGGTTCGACTCAGCGCGACCCAAGAAATATGCTTCGCGACCCATAGGTTAAGAACCGCTGGCATAAAGAACTAAATCAATTAAAAAATTGAATCAATTAAAAACTAAAAAAAGCAGAAACACAACCACATTCGATAAAAAAAAAAAAAATATTATATTTTATTCAAATCTCTTTACTAAATTAAGTATAAATTAGCGGACGACTTAAAAAGAATCATGAATGAAATTTACGCTAGGCTTGCGTGAGTCGAGTTCCTTGTAAGTTTACCAAATTTAGGCATTGATCGCTCCATTTAAATATTTTTTCATTGTCACCAAATTAATTTTTTAAACATAATTAGTTTTAATAATTTTGATTAGCTTTCGATAAAAACAATTAAAATTTTAGGTTTCACTATAGAAATATTCGTAGATTAATAGAGCATAAAATATTTATGGCTCATAATTCAAAATTTTTGTCTAGTATTAAATTAAATAATTAAAAAAAATTATTTTCTGCATGGAATTATCTTTGGGTACACGAGTTTCATGAGTGGGTGTATTCTTTTTTCAATTGCGCTATTAGTTTTGAAGATATGACCAAAAACGCAAAAAGTGAAATTAACATTAAAGTTACCAAACTTATAACCGTTCACCTGATTTAACTGTTAGGACCCCTCCCCCCTATTTTGAAGGACAGAAATCCAAATATCTAAAAAATGAACTTAAGCGAATTGAAAAAGTATTGCACGCAATTATAACATTCGTTTATCCTCAGATAATTCAATGCAAAATACAATTTTTTGTAAATATTTATTATTTTATTTAATACTAGTCAGAAAAAAAGAAGGCAAAATCAAAAGTTTTTTTTTAAATTATTATTTTTAATACTATAGCTTGGGTAATATATTTTTATTTACTTATAAAAGTGATTAAAATGGTATTAAAAAAAGGACATTTTATTAAACCAAATAGGTTTTTGATTTAAAACCATTTAAAATTTAAAAGCCATTTTTGATTTAGTATTTTTAAATAAACTGTAGTTATTAGTAAATTAATTGTTTATTGCTTACTCCAAAGGATAAAAAATTATGAAAAGCAAGTTTTAAAAAAAAAATTATAATTTAACTTCGTACATATTTCTAATGAAAATTAAAAAAGTATGATTAAACTTTTTACATACTTCAAATGAAAATTATCATTTACATTTAAAGGGAAAAAATTGTTGCGACTTCCACTTAAAAAATAGTTTTGTTAAACAGTCACATTTTCATAAGAAAAACGTTATTGACTGATTAATAAACTATTTATTTTTTCCTTTAAAGGTTCATTGTTTAGCAAATAAACGAAATTATCTACATAATGACTATAAATTCAAAAAAAAAGTGAAATACTGTCTAGGAGTGAAATTAAAATCGACGGCATTACCTCGGTGTTTATTTGATTACTTAGGTTGACCGTTTTGGTGGTTCGCGCCAGGACCTGTCTCTTTAATTGGCATTGGGACATACACTACTTCCATTTTACCTAAAAATGTTAATTATATATAAGTTTGGGACCATTTATTTTTAAATGCATTACTATAATAAACTATTTTTTCCAATTTAACTACTTTTTATTCTGTTTTCAGTATAGTAATTACAATTACTTAATTACTATAAATTGCATTTGGCGAATATCATTCCTCGCTAAATGACATGTAAGCAATTCCCCAATGACATGTTACGTAATTGAATGTGTTAACTTTTAAATTGTTTATAATCACTAAAATTCATGGGTTTTTTGATCAACAAACTGCGAGTGAAGACTCTGTAGAAAAATTGTGAATTATTTATAGTGTTTATAAGCTGAGTTTGGTGGCTTTACGTCTCTTTACCTAGTCAGCAACCGCCCTGTTCCGTTTGGAGTAATTTTGGATATTGATAATAACGCATCTAAGTGTTTGTCAATAGAGTTGCGCAAGTCATTCACAGATTTCTTCACAAAGAATAAATACACAGAAATCTATAAAATCGAAAATAAAAAGAAACTTTATCAAACAAAGCTAATAATATTTCTCAACGGATTAAATTTAATCACGATGAGATCAACGGTTTTAAAAATTCCGACTACATTTGTCAAGGTTGTTGAAATAGCTGAGTTGCTGAAAATAAACTAAGTATATAAAATAGTAATCATTGTATGAAAATAATTTCAATGGAAAACGAAAAATTGAAAAAACAAATTAACAGATAATAAACTTGAAAATAATGCTACATCACGAGAACTAATAGTTTCATTAAAATGAAGAGTGAAAAAGTAAACATATATTAATGCTAGGAAAGCACAATCATCTAACACTACCCTTCCTTAAATACAATTTAAACCTTGTAGAATATGAGAGCGATGAAATAATTTAACAGACTAGTGCTTATACCAGGGGAGGATCCAGAAATTTTTCCTGGGGGGGGGGGGAGGTCATAGACTCAAATCCTTTTTAAAGAGGCAGCGCAATAAGCTTCCGCCAAAATTTACGCCAATAAGAAAAAAAAATTTTACAAAAATTTATTGTGGGGGGCACTATTAATTTTTTTTGTAAAATTTTTTTTTTTTAAATATTCTTTTTGAAAAATAACTGCGGTTTTAATGCTAGTCTTCTCATTTATTTCTTTTTACAATGAACAACAGAACGATACATAAATAATTCAAGTATTCAACATCTTTAAATAATAAATGTAATGCGTTTTTTAGAAACTTTGGCAAATCTGCCAATTATTTTTTTAACATCCAAATCAATTTCTCGATGAATGTTTAATAATGCGAGTCCATTTAATCGTTCTTGATTTTGAGTTGCTCTAAGCCAAGTTTTGAGACGTCGAAGAGTTGAAAAGAAACGTTCTGCTGTTGCTGCACTAACTGGCAGAGTTATTAAAATTCTCAGCAACACATTGATTGAAGGGTACAAATCGATGTCACAGGAAAGATCGTTGGGCACTTCAGGTCCTGCTTCTGTTTCACGCTGCCATTTTGCCACCCAAAGAAGAAATTCTGTTTCTACGACTTTTACGGAAGCATTTAAGATATATACGTATATACAATCTTTGGATAAACCTGTTGATAATAAGGAACGCTTCAACGTTATTAATGTTTACAATGAAACTATGACGAATTTCGTTTTAATCTTTTGGATTATGATTCTTGAAACAGTGAAGAACATAATTAGATGGGAGAAAAAAAAATTCCGACCTACATAGGTGTATATGCCCCCTTAAGTAATTTATCAAATATTTATATAATTTTTGTTTCGATTCAAAATGCATTTTATTGGGTTCATTAATTTTGCTCATATCGAGTTCATTGCAATTTTATAAAGTTTTGTTGAAATTTTCCAATGTTTTATTGAAATAACATTATATTTTGGCGGCAGCTATTCCTGTTACCACGGTGTTCCGAGCAAACAGGAATGGTGCCAAACATAAGTCGCCAATTTCGCCAAGGGGCACCCTCAAGTATATTTTTACCTCTGTCCGCGCCCTCATTGGCGAGATTGTAATGCGCCAAGCGTAGCTTTCTAACATTCTTTTCTCATTCAATAAAAAATTACCAAACGTTACAGTCCACTTGACTCTATTAGCTCCGACATCTTTGGTCCTAGCGACCTGGAGCGGAACCAGCTCAATATGAGCACAATTAACTCAATAACAAATCTTAATCGCCAACGTGGGGCAATTAAAACAAAAATAAAC